TCTCCTTTACCGCCACAGCCACACCCCCTTTCAACCTCAAAGCATCACATGTAAACAACCTATAACCTTTCCCAAAAACAACTCACATCCTAACCTATGGTTATGTTCCTGCAAAAAACAGACATCAATACTAAATCTCCTCAAAACCCACTCTAACCATACCCTCTTGACCCCGTTTTTAAGACCGTTTACATTGAAAGTTACACACCTGAATTTACAAGAATGGCGGCTTACCCTGTGCCGCTGAGGCTTACTTGGTCCTCCTTTCATAGGTCTCGGTTCTTCTCTATCAATCCCTTTGTTCCTGCCCTCCAACCCCTCCCTGTCCCTTCCACCTAGCTTCCATTGCCCCCCCCTCCTCCCTGGGCTTGCCTTTGCAACCACAGCTGCCCACATCTTCTTCCCAGGCCTCTGCGCTGGTGTGAGGACCTCGTCCATGTCTGATGCCCCGCTGATCTCTTGCGGGAGCTACCCTCTACATACATTTCTTCTGCTACCACATCTTCTTGATGGACCTCCACCACCACATTGCTCTCCTTGCGAACCTCACTCAAGTCTTCCTTACCCTGCTTCTGTTCATCCATCACCTTGTCATCACCTGCCCTCACATCACTTTCCACACCATGCTCCGACTCTTCCAAAAAATCCTTCAGCACAGCCTCCAAAATCCCATCCTGAGCTGACTCTGCATTATCTAACGGCCTGTCTGACGGCGATATTCCCTCCCCCCCGTTTCCACTGGTAGTGTAACACACGTCTCCAAAACACCTCTGCCCTGTCGACCTCCTCACTCCCATAGGCCTGTACCCCGGCTTTCCACTTCACCCGTCATAACATCCGTGGCTTCTAATGGCGTATCCACAGAAGCTGTCTCCTGACGCTAGGCCCTGTCTCCTGGGGCATTGTGCCACCCTGTGCTCATAAGAGTCACATAACGGCACGTCTTCCTCTGCCCCGCATAGTGTACAAAAACCTGTGTTCTATGGTTATGCAATGTAACATATGATGGTATCGGTCTCCTCAGGTCAATTTTCAGTGTGAAGGATCCTTCCGGCATCCCCTCATAAGGGCCGTCCCTCCCCATTCCCATGCTCGTCGAGTGTACAGTTCCATAACCACTGAACACATCTTGTAGGCTGTATGCTGTTGCCTCAAAAGGTACATTCCTTACCTTCACCCAAGTAAAATACTTAGACCCCGTCATGCAAGCATACTTCCACTGCCGAATTGATACTCATCCGTCGTTCTTGAAATTCATCTACGATGGTAGAGTAGAAGTCAGCCCTCATGAACTTCACGAAGACCCTTGACATTCCATTCAATGCCACACCATACAGCTCTTCATTGGGGATGCCATAACAGTCCCTGATAATGCTTGGCAGGAGAACGTTCATCGTGTCGTTGCTTAAAGATCCTCTAACCAGCTGAATGCAGACAGTATTTATGCGCCGGTACAGTCGGTCCGCCATCTTGGTGCTAATACTATGTTTTCCTCACCAGGTGGCGTGCAAGAGAACCAGTAGAAGCGTCCTCTCTCCCCGCAGGTCGAGAGACGAATGTACTTAAATATATTTAGTTGGGTTAGGCTAAAATAAATTGCGCCTGTTATAATAAGGTTAGGTAAGTTTTCTAAGTTCCTTTTGGTGCAAAATTATAAATTTTTACATCAACATTAATGAAAAAAATATATCTTTAATCGTGTAAGAGAAAATTTTAGAAAGGACTTAATTTTAAATGATTTCTTGCTAATTGACCAGTTTTACATATTCGGCACGACATTATATATATATATATATATTTATATATATATATATATATATATATATTTATATATATATATATTATATTATATTTATATATTATATTATATATATATATATATATATAAATAATGTTATCTGTGTATTAGGACTGAAGAAGCTACGTGTGGCTAAACGTTTCCTATAGTAAATGTCCTTAACCTCACTTAAGTGTCTTAAAGAGGCATTCTCTTGTTATCTCAGAATTTGCTCTCCGAAATTATATAATAAAAACCCGAATTTCGATTATTCCACTTTCTTAAACACAAAACATACAAGTTAGGATGTGTGTAGCTAACTAAAATAGAATGTGACTGACAAGTTAATAGAAGCTATCTTTCGACACCAGCTTTCGACACCAGCTTTGCTTTCACATGAAGTAACGTGATCGCCAAAGAGATACTCAGGGAAAACAGTACAATGAACGTACCTAACCAAGGACAATTATTTTTCTTCCAAAAGTAACAAAACTTTCAAATTACTGAATCTGAATTTACAAACTTCCAAGTCTTGACTACAGCAGTGTGCAGATAACAGTCTGAGACAGTTAGATCAAAAGTTAAACCTAGACATGAATAATATTTACTGTCTAACAAAATGTAACAACAATATATGTATAATGACTAATTCTAAATAAATCCATGAAAACGTAGTTCCACACAGAATAGGATGTATGCTTCTACTCACCAGTGAAAACACAGTCTACCAGAGAGTAGGATGTATGCTTCTACTCACTAGTAAGAACACAGTCTAACACAGAGTAGGATGTATGCTTCTATTCACCAGTGAGAACACAGTCTAACACAGATGAATCTGCAATTTTGAGATGTATCGGATGTGAAAATTTAGATATCCGCGGATGCGGATGTGTTTGAGGATGTCTTATTTTGCGGATGCGGATGCTGGTGTAAGAAATTGTGTGGATGATCCACGGATGCAGATGCGGATGTAAGATACTGTGCGGATGCATATGCGGATATCTTTACAGTAAAAATGCGGTCGCGGATGTAAGAAATTGTGCGGATGTTCCGCGGATGCGGATGTAAGAAATTGTGTGGATATTCTGCGGATGCGGATGTAAGAAATTGTGTGGATGTTGCGGATGCGGATGTAGATATCGATACATCGCTAGTTATATATGTGTATCCTTCATAACATTATCATTTTAAAAAGGTTAAATTATAAACCAAAATTTTTGGTCACATGCATTTTACGTGATATTTAACATTATTTTCATGTCAAAATTTTGATTATTTTTCAGAAAAATCTCTTGCAGGAAATACCACCATTTTAGAACACTGGTGAGAGAACAATAAATAAAATATAATTGACAAAAAATATTTTAGAACAAATGTCCGGGTATAAAACACATAATCAGTAAATATTGTTTTATCTTTGCTGAAAGCTTTATGTTACATAATACAATACATAACTGATCCCGTCATTACAATATATTCTTGTATATACAGAAGATGTGGCCCACATCCAGTGTAAATTGTGGGGACCCATAGTCTCGGTGAGGTGTTATGTATATAGTGTTTATATAGTCTCGGTGAGGTGTTATGTATATAGTGTTTATATAGTCTCGGTGAGGTATTATGTATATAGTGTTTATATAGCCTAGGTGAGGTATTATGTATATAGTGTTTATATAACCTAGGTGAGGTATTATGTACATAGTGTTTATATAGCCTAGGTGAGGTATTATGTATATAGTGTTTATATAACCTAGGTGAGGTATTATGTACATAGTGTTTATATAGCCTAGGTGAGGTATTATGTATGTAGTGTTTATATAGCCTAGGTGAGGTATTATGTATATAGTGTTTATATAACCTAGGTGAGGTATTATGTACATAGTGTTTATATAGCCTAGGTGAGGTATTATGTATATAGTGTTTATATAGCCTAGGTGAGGTATTATGTATATAGTGTTTATATAACCTAGGTGAGGTATTATGTATATAGTGTTTATATAGCCTCGGTGAGGTATTATGTATATAGTGTTTATATAGCCTACGTGAGGTATTATGTATGTAGTGTTTATATAGCCTCGGAGAGGTTTTGTTATGTATATAGTGTTTGTATAGACTCGCAGAGGTATTGTAATGTATATAGTGTTTATATAGCCTTGGCGAGGTATTATGTATATAGTGTTTATATAGAAGTATTGTAATGCTAATTGCCGTAGTGCTAGGAATAAGATGGACGAGTTGAGATTAGTTGCTAGTGCAGGTAACATTGATGTATTTGCCTTAACTGAGACGTGGTTTAATTCAAAAAGTCGGGACATGCCTGCGGAATGTCATATTCAGGGTTTTAAATTGTTCCAAGAAGATAGAAGTATTGGGAGGGAGGGGGGTGGCATTGTATGTCCGAGATCGCTTGAACTGTTGCATAAAAACGGGTATTAAGTCTGAAGTAACACATACAGAGTCTGTTTGGATAGAATTTTCAGAGGGGAATGAAAAACTGATTTTAGGAGTGATATACCCCAAACTTAGATAGGGACCAAGGGAGACTACTATGGGAGGAAATTGTTAAGGCCACAAGGCACGATAATGTAGTAATTCTAGGAGACTTTAACTTTAGTCATATTGATTGGAATTTCTTGACTGGGAATTTAAAATCATACGACTTTTTAGAAGTAGTTCAGGATTGTTTTTTGAAGTAGTTTGTGACAGAACCTACAAGGGGAAATAGCCTGCTTGAATTAGTTCTGGCAAACAATGAATCCCTTGTTAATAATTTAGAAATTTCAGAGGAACTGGGAGCTAGCGACCACAAATCAATTACATTTAGCATTGAATGGAAGTACAATAGTAGCGATAACTCAGTAACAGTCCCAGATTTTCGCTTAGCAGATTACGATGGGCTTAGAGAACACTTATTATCTGTTGACTGGGGTAACGAAGTGAGCTACCAATATGACAGTTTTCTGAACACTATACATGCTGCTCAAAGAACGTTTATCCCATATAGAGAAATTAGATCAAATAGAAATGACTCAAAATGGATGAATAATAGGCTCAAATATCTACTAGGGCATAAGAAAGGAATTTATAGGCGTATCAAAAGAGGTGAGGGTCATCTTATGAATCAGTATATTGATATTAAGAGGGACATTAAAAAGGGGATAAGAAAAGCTAAAAGGGACTATGAAATTAAAGTTGCTAGGGATTCTAAAACTAACCCAAAAAGTTTTTTCCAGGTCTATAGAACAAAAGTTAGAGATAAGATAGGTCCCCTTAAAAATAACTATGGGCACCTTACTGACAAAGAGAATGAAATGTGCTCGATTTTAAATAATTATTTTCTCTCAGTTTTTACACAGGAAGACACTAACAATATTCCAGTAATTAATTTTTATAGTGGGCTAGAAGAAGATAAATTATGTAACATCACAGTCACTAGTGAAATGGTTGTGAAGCAGATAGACAGACTGAAGCAAAATAAGTCGCCGGGTCCTGATGAGGTTTTTTCAAGGGTTCTTAAGGAATGCAAAATGGAACTCTGTGAACCATTAACTAATATTTTTAATTTATCTCTTCAAACAGGTGTAGTGTCTGATATGTGGAAGATGGCTAATGTAATTCCTATTTTTAAAACTTGGGACAAATCGTTACCTCAAATTTCCGCCCAATAAGCCTGACCTCAATTGTAGGCAAATTACTAGAGTCAATTATAGCTGAGATTATAAGAAGCCATCTCGATAAGCATAGCTTGATTAATGATACTCAGCATGGATTCACAAGAGGCCGGTCTTGTCTAACTAATTTATTAACTTTCTTCAGTAAAGCTTTTGAGGCTGTTGACCACAATAAAGAATTTGATATTATTTACTTAGATTTTAGTAAGGCTTTTGATAGAGTTCCGCACCATAGACTGTTAAAGAAAGTGGCAGCTCATGGCATTGGGGGAAAAGTGCTCTCGTGGATCGAGTCATGGCTCACTGACAGGAAGCAGAGAGTGTCTATAAATGGGGTTAAATCCGAGTGGGGATCTGTAACAAGTGGCGTTCCACAGGGATCAGTCTTGGGCCCGTTGTTGTTTATAATATATATCAGTGATCTTGATGAAGGAATTACTAGTGATATGAGCAAATTCGCCGATGACACAAAGATAGGTAGGGTAATTGATTCAAACGTAGATGTTATGGAACTTCAGGAGGATTTAAACAAACTCTATTCTTGGTCAGAAAAGTGGCAGATGCAGTTCAATGTAGATAAATGCAAGGTTCTGAAGCTTGGGAGTGCCCATAACCCTAGTACTTATAAGTTAAATGATGTAGAACTTAGCCATACAGATTGCGAAAAGGACTTGGGGGTTATGGTGAGCGGCAACCTTAAACCAAGACAGCAATGCCTAAGCGTACGTAATAAGGCAAATAGATTACTGGGATTTATATCAAGAAGTGTAAGCAACAGAAGTCCAGAGGTCATACTGCAGCTTTATACATCATTAGTAAGGCCTCACCTAGATTATGCAGCTCAATTCTGGTCTCCATATTACAGAATGGACATAATTTCGTTAGAAAACATTCAGTGTAGGATGACTAAATTAATACATAGCATTAGAAATCTTCCTTATGAAGAAAGATTGAAGACTCTTAAGTTACATTCACTTGTTAGACGAAGAATGAGGGGAGACCTGATCGAAGTGTATAAGTGGAAGATTTTTTTTTTTCAACAAATCGGCCGTATCCCACCAAGGCAGGGTGGCCCAAAAAGAAAAACGAAAGTTTCCCTTTTTAAATTTAGTAATTTATACAGGAGAAGGGGTTACTAGCCCCTTGCTCCTGGCATTTTAGTCGCCTCTTACAACACGCATAGCTTACGGAGGAAGAATTCTGTTCCACTTCCCCATGGAGATAAGAGGAGATAAACAAGAACAAGAACTAGTAAGAAAATAGAAGAAAACCCTGAGGGGTGTGTATATATATATGCTTGTACATGTATGTGTAGTGTGACCTAAGTGTAAGTATAAGTAGCAAGACGTACCTGAAACCTTTCATGTTTATGAGACAGAAAAATAGACACCAGCAATCCTACCATCATGTAAAACAATCACAGGCTTTCGTTTTACACTCACTTGGCAGGACGGTAGTACCTCCCTGGGTGGTTGCTGTCTACCAACCTACTACCTAGAAGATAGGTATTAATAAAGGGGATTTTAATAAGGTCTTGAGGATGTCTCTCCAAGAGAGAACCCGCAGTAATGGAGTTAAATTAGATAAGTTTAGATTTAGGAAGGACATAGGAAAGTATTGGTTTGGAAATAGGGTAGTTGATGAGTGGAACAGTCTACCTAGTTGGGTTATTGAGGCTGGGACTTTGGGTAGTTTCAAATTTAGGTTGGATAAGTACATGAGTGGGAGGGGTTGGATTTGAGTGGGACTTTCACATCAGAGCTTATTTCTTGGGCAGCATTGAAAACTGGGTTCGGCAAATGTTTTGTTAGTGGGATGAATTGTAAAGGACCTGCCTAGTATGGGCCAACAGGCCTCCTGCAGTGTTCCTCCTTTCTTATGTTCTTATGTTCTTATGTATATAGTGTTTATATAGCCTAGGTGAGGTATTATGTATATAGTGTTTATATAGCCTAGGTGAGGTATTATGTATATAGTGTTTATATAGCCCTGGAGAGGTATTGTTATTTATATAGTGTTTATATAGCCTCGGAGAGGACTTGTTATTTATATAGTGTTTATATAGCCTCGGAGAGGACTTGTTATTTATATAGTGTTTATATAGCCTCGGAGAGGACTTGTTATTTATATAGTGTTTATATAGCCTCGGAGAGGACTTGTTATTTATATAGTGTTTATATAGCCTCGGAGAGGACTTGTTATTTATATAGTGTTTATATTGAGGCAAAAATGAAAATAACTTAATTTAATGTGACAATATTTACTAAAATTTTTGTTCTGCTGTAAAACTAATTCAGTGAAAATATATTATGAAAAATCGGGCTACAGTTAAATTATATCTTTTTCATCTATAGATAAATATAAAAGAAGGAGAAAAAGTGTATAAGATCCGGGGAGGAGAGTGGAATAGGCTTCACCATTAGTCGTTATATATCTGCATCCTAATTTTAACTTCCAATAAGTTAATGGCGTCTAAATGAGAATAATTATTATCAGTATTTGGATAAAGTTTAATATTTCTGTCATATTAAGTTCCATAATGTTAAACGTAGATGAAAAATACAATAATGTTATTTAATGTAATACTCGTTATGAAGATTAACCAAATATTTCAAGATTGTATGTATTTCCTGCCGTTAAGTCAAGGATAGTTATTTTACATAATATGCAGACATACAGTTTGTATATTTTGTACACTGAAACTCAGTTATGAAATACATTTCCCACACAGCTAGCAATCAAAAAGTACTGCCACGAGCCCTCTTAGGGCCGGGATGGTGCCAGAGCCAGAGCTTGCTATCACTGCCATTCCCACGAGCACTCTTGGGACGGGGAAGATGGCAGACCAGAGGCCTAACTTCTCCCTACGAGCCCCGTGAGGGCGAGGACTGTGGCTAGGCCTGGGGACAGTTGGTCCCGAAGATGAGGAGGTACTTATACATCCTCCTATGGGAGGCATAGGTCTCAGACACTCCCAAGACAGGGAGCCAAGGCCGGGTCACCATCTAGAAAAGACCCGGGCAGGGAGGGTACCCGCGAATCAAAAAATAATAGCAGTCAAAAGGAAATTTCACGCCAAATAAATAACATGAAGCATCTTTGCAGTTGAAAAAATGTGTGAATGTAACAACGATAAAACAAAAACGGTTTAGATGTTCTTCATGGTTTGTTTTAAAAGGTCTGGCCAGCCGAACCAGGCGTCAATATCTCTGATACCAAGGAACTTGTAACCCTGAAGTTTCATATATTCTATAAGAACATTTGCACCTTCTGGAATATGGTTGATCTCCACACACATGAGACGGAATTTGATCTTGTCCCAAGGAATTGTTCTTAATACCTGAAGGAACACAGAAAGTAACATGTTAAAAATGTTAAAAAAATAAAATATGCTAATCCGAGTAATTACAAATAAATAATATGGAATAATGAATATTATAACACATTCCTAGAGAAGGCCTATCTTCTCCCTACGAGCCCCGTGAGGGCGGGGACTGGGGCTAGGCCTGGGGACAGTTGGTCCCAGAAGATGAGGAGGTACTTGTACCTCCTCCCATGGCAGACAGGTCTCAGACACTCCCAAGACAGGAAGCCAATGCCGGGTTACCATCTGGAAAAGACCTGGGCTGGGAGAGTACCGGCGAATCAAGAAGATGAATCCTAGAGAAATAGAATAATATACAGGCAAGAATCCACAAAAGGTGAGAAAGGGGAGGGGACAAGTGAAGATAGATGAAGAATAGGTAGGGAGAGGAAAAGGCTACAGAAATAGGAAAAGAGCTGGGGCTAAATCCAGCAGTGAAGGAATTGAACCAGGACAGGAGACTCTCAGGTAAGACCCGTGAGGGTGAGAGGAGACACTGGGATACTGGAAGAGAAGTGAGGGAAAAGAATGGTATTATGAGTGAGGGAAAGAGCCGGGGTTACACCTAGACATACAGCATTGGTTAACATGGGTCGAAAAAAGTGGTGCTTGCTGTGCTGACTAAACCTGCTATTATAGAACGTCGTTGGGCTCAAAGTAATGGAACCCACAAACACACAGATACACACACACGGGGTTGCACTGCTCATTAAAAACCGATGGGGATTTAAGGAAATAGAAGGAATGGACGAGATTGGAGAAAGGGATTACATAGTAGGTAAAATTCAGTCTGGGGGACGTAAGGTAGTCATTGCAGTGATTTATAACCCACCACAGAACTGCAGGAGGCCAAGAGAGGAATATGAAGAGAGCAACAGAGCGATGGTGGACACACTAGCCGAAGTGGCCAGAAGAACTCACTCCAGGAGAAGAAAGTTATTGGTTATGGGCGATTTCAACAACAGGACATTGATTGGGAAAACCTGGAGCCACATAGGAGTCCCGAAACATGGAGAGCCAAGATGGATGTGGTACTGGAAAACCTCATGTATCAACATGTTAGGGACACTACCAGAGAGAGAGAGGGAAGGATGAACCATCAAGACTGGACCTCGTGTTCACACTGAGTAGCTCGGATATTAAGGAAGTGATCATGTGATTCTGAGCTTTGAATACATAATAGAGCTACAAGTGGAGAGGGTAACAGGAGTAGAATGGGAAAAGCCAAACTACAAATGAGATGAATACACAGGTATGAGGTTCAGTGGGACAGAGAACTGGTAGGAAAGCCAGTAAACGAAATTATGGACTATGAAACAACAAAATGCAAGGAGGCAGAGGAAAGATTTGTTACCAAGGGCAACAGAAATATTGGGAAGATCCGAACGAGCGCTTGGTTTACCAGAAGGTGTAGGGAGGCAAAAACTAAGTGCACCAGTTAATGGAATAATTACAGAAGGCAAAGGACCCAGGAAAATACAGAGATTAGTCGAAGAGCCAGAAACGAGTATGCACAAATAAGGAGGGAGGCCCAGCGACAGTACGAAAATAACATAACATCGAAAGTCAAGTCTGACCCGAAACTGTTGTATAGCCACATCAGGAGGAAGACAACAGTCAACTACCAGGTAATCAGGCTGAGGAAAGAAGGTGGGGGGTTCACAAGAAACGACCAAGAAGTATGTCAGGAGCTCAAAACGACATTTAAGGAAGTATTTACAGTATTTGAGGTATCAAGTAACCTTGATACCTCAAAGGTGGTGGGACCGGACATCTCTCCATGGGTCCTTAGAGAGGAAGCAGAGATGCTGTGTGTGCCAATAACCCCAATTTTCAACACATCCATCGAAACTGGGCAACTACCTTAGGTATGGAAGACGGCAAATGAAGTCCCCATTTTTAAGAAAGGAGACAGAAAAGAGGCACTAAACTATAGACCAGTGTCACTGAAGTGTATAGTATGCAAGGTCATGGAGAAGATTATCTGGAGGAGAGTGGTGGAGCACCTGGAACGGAACAAGATTATAAACGACAACCAGCATGGATTCATGGAAGGTAAATCCTTGGACCTCAAGAAGGCCTTTGACACAGTTCCTCAAGCTAGAGGATGAGGCACTTACAACAGGAAAGGCACTACAATGGATAAGAGAATACCTAACAGGGAGGCAACAATGAGTTATGGTGTGCGATGTGTCACAGCAGGCGCCTGTGACGAGCGGGGTCCCACAGGGGTCAGTCCTATGACCGGTGCTACTATTTTTGGTATATGTGAATGACATGATGGAAGGGATAGACTCAGAAGTGTCCTTGTTCGCAGATAAGGATCAGGCAGGACTACAAAGAGACCTAGACATGCTGGATGCGTGGTCCAGGAACTGGCTTCTCGAATTTAACTCCGCCAAATGAAAATTCATGAAGATCGGGGAAGGGCAAAGATAACCGCAGACAGCGTATAGGCTAGGCGGGCAAAGACTGCAAACCTCTCACGGAGAAAGATCTTGGGGTGAGTATAATACCGAGCACTTCCCCGGAAGCACACATCAACCAGATAACTGCTGCGGGATATGGGCGCCTGGCAAACCTGAGAATAGCTTTCCGATACCTCAGTAAGGAATCGTTTGACACTACACCGTGTACGTCTGGCCCATACTGGAGTACGCAGCTCCAGTTTGGAACCCACACCTGGTCAAGCACGTCAAGAAATTAGAGAAAGTGCAAAGGTTTGCAACAAGGCTAGTTCCAGAGCTAAGGGGAATGTCCTACGAAGAAAGGTTAAGGGAAATCGGTCAGACGACACTGGAGGACAGGAGGGTTAGGGGAGATATGATAACGACATACAAAATACTGTGAGGAATAGATAAGGTGGACAGAGACATGATGTTCCAGAGAGGGGACACAGAAACAAGGAGTCACAATTGGAAGTTGAAGACTCATATGAGTCAAAGGGATGTCAGGAAATATTTCTTCAGTCATAGAGTTGTCAGGAAGTGGAATAGTCTGGCAAGTGATGTAGTGTAGGCAGGAACTATACATAGTTTGGAGACGAGGTATGATAAAACTCATGGAGCAGGGAGGGAGAGGACCTAGTAGCGACCACTGAAGAGGCGGGGAAAGGAGCCGAATCTCGACCCCTGTAACCACAATTAGGTGAGTACAATTAGGTGACTAAACACAGACACACACACACACACACACAAACAGGAAGGATAGGGAGGACATGATAACGACTTATAAATACTGAGAGGAACTGAAAAGGTGGACAGAAACAGAATGTTCCAGGGATGGGACACAGCAACAAGGGGTCACAATTGGAAGTTGAAGACACAAATGAATCACAGGGATGTTAGGAAGTATTTCTTCAGTCACAGAGTAGTCAGGAAGTGGAATACTTTGGGAATCTATGCAGTGGAGGCAGGATCCATTCATAGCTTTAAGCAGAGGTATGATAAAGCTCATGGTGCAGGGAGAGTGATCCAGAAGTGGCCAATGAAGAGGCAGGGACAGGAGCTATGACTCGACCCCTGCAACAATAACTATGTGAGTACAACTAATTGAGTACACACACACACACACACATCCTAGGGGGTCAAAGACTGAAAACCTCAGTCAATAAAAAGATCTTGGGATGAGTAGTATACCGAGCACATTTCCTGAGACGCACGTCAACTATGTGCTGCAACATATGCGCGCCTGGGAAACCTAAGAATACTGTTTCGACACCTAAGGAGTTATTCAACACACTGTACACCGTGTACACCGTCAAGAAATTAGAGAAAGTGGAAAGGTTAGCAACAAGATTAGTCCCGGAGCTAAGAGGTAAGTCCTTCGAGGAGAGGCTAAGGAAAATTAACCTGACGACACTGGAGGTCAGGGGAAATAGTGAAGACTTGATAACTTATGAAATACTGAAATGAATTGAAAAGGTTGACAGGTCGAGCATGTTTCAGAGATGGGAGACAGGAACAAGGGGACACAACTGAAAGTTAAAACCTCAGATGAGTCATAGGGATGTTAAGAAGTATTTCTTCAGCCTTTGCTTTGTCAAGAAATGACAGTCTGGAGACTGAAGTAGTGGAGGCAGGATCCACACAGAGCTTTAAGAAGAGGAAAAATACTGCTCATGAAGCAGGGGAATAGTGACCCTACAAGCGATCAGAGAAGAGACTGGGCCGGAGGCTGTGAATCGACCCCTGCAACCAAAAATAGACGAGTAAGATTATACGTACACATATGCACCGATATACTCACACACATGTTAATTCACTCACTGAGGCAACGAGAAGTTTAACAAATTTACCTAGCTTCCCAGGAGGCTGGTTAAATATCTCGGGCTCGATCTTCGGCCGGTCGCAGTATTGTTATTTGCTTGAAACCCACTTGTATAAATCTTGGTAGAATTACCGATAATATGTTATGTAAAGGAACACAAATGCATGTAATGTAACATTTTCCATGCCTTCTCAAATCCATCCATATTCCTTTGCCATATGAATTCGAATTATTTAAAATTAATCAAATTTGGGAAATTGGCCTGACGACACTGGAGGACAGGAGGGTAAGGGGAGACATGATAACAACATACAAAATACTGCGAAGAATTGACAAGGTGGACAGAGACAGAATGTTCCAGAGATGGGACACAGAAACAACGGATCACAGTTGGAAAATGAAGACTCAATGTTTTAATGCTTATTGTTTGTGTTTCGTTTATATCATCATAAAAAAGTCAGGTGTTGAAAAGTACCTGAGCCAAAATATGTTTCTGCAAGAATTTCGCAAAAATTATTTTGAACCTAACGAAAAAATATTTCATTTTGTTTGTAGTTTAATCTCGTTCTTATATACATATATATATATATATATATATATATATATATATATATATATATATTATATATATATATATATTATATATATATATATATATATATTATATATATATATATATAAATACATACACCGAGTGACTTTTTGTGAGTATATATATTTATGTTTGTGTATGTGTGCGTGTGTCTCAAGTAATAATATTTGTCGGTTCAAAAGACTTCTCTTTAAAATCTATGTTTAAAGTAATTTTAAAAATTGAAAGAAGTCCCTCACCTTCATCTCAACACCTTCAATGTCGAGAGAGAAAAAGTCAACTACCGTCACATTAAGTGCCAGAAGAATGGAGTACAGTGGGAAAGCTTTCACTTTTATAGCTGAAGTGGAGTTACCAATTTGCCCTAAAACTCCTTTAGGCCCACTCGGTCTGTGGAAAAAAATAGAGCCGATTTAAATATATTAGCCATATTATGTAATATATTTATATACATATATATATATATATATATATATATATATATATATATATATTATTTATATATATATATATATATATATATATATATATATTTTCAACAAGTCGGCCGTCTCCCACCGAGGCAGGGTGACCCAAAAAGAAAGAAAATCCCCAAAAAGAAAATACTTTCATCATCATTCAACACTTTCACCACACTCGCACATTATCACTGTTTTTGCAGAGGTGCTCAGAATACAACGTCTAGAAGCTCCAATAAAAAAAGAACAAAACTATCCCCCTCCAATCCCAAAATCCCCCAAACCCCCTTTTTTTAAAGTGCGGCATTGTACTTTTTTTTCCGGAATCAAGTCCGACTATTGAAAAAAACCGGTTTTCCCCTGATCCCTTCACAAAATATACCCTCTCCCCCCAAACCAATCGTCAGGTCCCAAGTCCTTGCTCCTTCACTCCTATCTAACACGCTCCGCACGTTTGCGGAAGTCCAAGCCCCTTACCCCAAAACCCCCTTTTTCCCCCCCTCTATCAACCCTTTCAGGCGACCCTACCCCCCCTTCCTTCCCCTATATTTTTAAATTTGCTTTCCATGTCATTCTCTGTGATCCATTCTCCTAATGACCAAACCCCCCTCAAAAACCCCCTCTTCTGCCCTTGACTAATACTTTTATTAACTCCACACCTTTCCTAATTTCCCACACCCAAAATTTTCTGCATAAAATTTACCCACACATTGCCCTTAAAAAGGACATCTCGCTGCCCCAAACCCTCTCCTCGTGCTTTCATTTACCACCCAAACTTCACAACCCCTTAAGAGTGGTTGGGATACTTACTTTCATACATTCCCTTCTTTGCCTCCCTAGATAACGTTTTTTGACTCCACATATACCCCAATGCACCACTCACCTTTTTTCCCTCATCAATTCTATGATTAACCTCATCCTTCATAAATCCATCCGCCGACACGTCAACTCCCAAGTATTTGAAAACATTCACTTCTTCCATACTCCTCCTCCCCAATTTGATATCCAATTTTTCTTTATCTAAATCATTTGACACCCTCATCACCTTACTCTTTTCTATGTTCACTTTCAACTTTCTACCTTTACACACATTCCCAAACTCATCCACTAACCTTTGCAATTTTTCTTTAGAATCTCCCATAAGCACAGTATCATCAGCAAAAAGTAACTGTGTCAATTCCCATTTTGAATTTGATTCCCCATAATTTAATCCCACCCCTCTCCCAAACACCCTAGCATTTACTTCCTTTACAACCCCATCTATAAATATATTAAACAACCATGGTGACATTACACATCCCTGTCTAAGACCTACTTTTACCGGGAAGTAGTCTCCCTCTCTTCTACACACCCTAACCTGAGCCTCACTATCCTCATAAAAACTCTTTACAGCATTTAATAACTTACCACCTATTCCATATACTTGCAACATCTGCCACATTGCTCCTCTATCCACTCTATCATATGCCTTTTCTAAATCCTAAATGCAATAAAAATTTCCCTATCTTTATCTAAATACTGTTCACATATATGCTTCAATGTAAACACCTGATCTACACATCCCCTACCCACTCTAAAACCTCCTTGCTCATCCGCAATCCTACATTCTGTCTTACCTCTAATTCTTTCAATTATAACCCTACCGTACACTTTTCCTGGTATACTCAGTAAGCTTATTCCTCTATAATTTTTACAGTCTCTTTTGTCCCCTTTCCCTTTATATAAAGGGACTATACATGCTCTCTGCCAATCCCTAGGTACCTTCCCCTCTTTCATACATTTATTAAACAAAAGTACCAACCACTCCAACACTATATCCCCCCCTGCTTTTAACATTTCTGTCATGATCCCATCAGTTCCAGCTGCTTTACCCCCTTTCATTTTACGTAATGCCTCACGTACCTCCACCACACTTACATTCTGCTCTTCTTCACTCTAAAAGATGGTATACCTCCTGACCAGTGCATGAAATTACTGCCTCTGTTTCTTCCTTAACATTTAAAAGTTCCTCAAAATATTCTCGCCATCTACCCAATACCTCCATCTCCCATCTACTAACTCCCCTACTCTGTTTTTAACTGACAAATCCATATTTTCCCTAGGCTTTCTTAACTTGTTTAACTCACTCCAAAATTTTTTCTTATTTTCATTAAAATTTCTTGACAGTGCCTCCCACTCTATCATCTGCTCTCCTTTTGCACTCTCTCACCACTCTCTTTACCTTTCTTTTACTCTCCATATACTCTGCTCTTCTTATACCACTTCTGCTTTGTAAAAACCTCTCATAAGCTACCTTTTTCTCTTTTATCACACCCTTTACTTCATCATTCCACCAATCACTCCTCTTTCCTCCTGCCCCCACCCTCCTATAACCACAAACTTCTGCCCCACATTCTAATACTGCATTTTTAAAACTATTCCAACCCTCTTCAACCCCCCCACTACTCATCTTTGCACTAGCCCACCTTTCTGCCAATAGTCGCTTATATCTCACCCGAACTTCCTCCTCCCTTAGTTTATACACTTTCACCTCCCTTTACTTGTTGTTGCCCCCTTCCTTTTTTTTTTCCCATCTACCTTTACTCTAACTGTAGCTACAACTAAAATAATGATCCGATTTTCGTTGCCCTTATAAACATGTACATCTGGGCCTCCCCATCAACCTTTTATCCACAAAATTACAAAATTATAAACTATTTCATTCGTGTTTAATCATCCCTTGATATTTTTTTCCCTCTTTTTCAAAAAAATATGTATTACTTATTACCAAATTTCTTTCTACCGCTCAATTAAGGCCCCCCCATTTTTTTTTCCCCCCTGGCCCCCCAAATTTTCCTACTCTCCCCCCCATAACATTTTTACCCCTTTGCTTTTAAAACCCCCAACCCCTTCTTCCCCTTGTTTCAAAACTCCCACGCATTCATAAAACTTTTCCCAAAAAATTTTCTCTCTCCTTACATTTTTCTCTCTTCTCAGGTGATACAGCTTTTATAACCCATTTTTCAACCCAATCTTTATTTTACTCCCCCTAATCCTTGAATTAATACATTTATAGTCCCTCTTTTCCTGCCATAGCTTATCCTTCAACATTATTGCTACTCCTTCTTTAGCTCTAACTCTATTTGAAACCCCTGACCTAATCCCATTTATTCCTCTCCACTGAAACTCTCCCACCCCCTTCAGCTTTGTTTCACTTAAAGCCAGGACATCCAGCTTCTTCTCATTCATAACATCCACAATCATCTCTTTCTTATCATCTGCACAACATCCACGCACATTCAGACTTCCCACTTTGACAATTTTCTTCTTCTTATTCTTTTTAGTAATCTTTACAGGAAAAGGGGTTACTAGCCCATTGTTCCCGGCATTTTAGTTGACTTTTACAACACGCATGGCTTACGGAGGAAAGATTCTTATTCCACTTCCCCATGGATATAAAAGGAAAATTAATAAGACCAAGAACTATTAAGATAAAATCAAAGAAAACTCAGATGAGTGTGTATAAATAAATGTGTACATGTATGTGTAGTGTGACCTAAGTGTAAGTAGAAGTAGCAAGACATGCCTGTAATCTTGCATATTTATGAGACAGACAAAAGACATCAGCAATCCTACCATCATGTAAAACAATCACAGGCTTCGTTTTACACTCACTTGGCAGGACGGTAGTACCTCCCTGGGTGGTTGCTGTCTACCAACCTACTATATATATATATATATATATATATATATATATATATATATATATATATATATTATATATATATATATATATATATATATATATATATATATATATATATATATATATATATATATATATATATATATATATATATACACACACACGAGTCACAGGGATGTTAAGAAGTATTTCTTCAGTCATAGAGTTGTCAGGAAGTGGAATAGTTTAGCAAGTATTGTAGTAAGGCAGAAACCATACATAGCTTTAAGACGAGGTATGACAAAACTCAGGAAGCAGAGAGATAGAGGGCCTAGTAGCAGTCAGTGAAGAGGCGGGGCCAGGAGCTAAGTCTCGATACCTGCAGCCACAATTAGGCGAGTACAATTAGGTGAGCACATCAGATATCAGGTCCAGAGGAAAGATAGAGGGAGCAGAGGGGGAGGAGTTGCATTGCTCATTAAAAAGCAATGGGGATTTGAGGAAGCGGAAGGAATGGACGAAATGGGCGAAAGGGACTAGATAGTAGGTATAATTCAATCTGGGGGACAAAAAGAATCGCAGGAGGCTAAGAGAAGTATATGAAGAAAGAGTAAGGTGATGAGGATAACAAATAATTTAGGTAATGAAAGATTGGATATCAGATTAGAAGGAAGGAACATGGAAGAAGTGAATGTATGCAGATATTTGGAGTGGTTTTGTCAGCAGGTGAGTCTATGTTAGATGAGGTGAGTCATAGAATTTATGAGGGAGAAAAAGGTGAATGGTGCACTGAGGAGTCTGTGGAGACAAAGAATGTTATCCATAAAAGCAAAGAAGGTAATGTATAGTTATACCAATACTCTTACATGGTTGTGAAGCATGGGTGGTGAATGTTGCAACAAGGAGAAGGCTGGAGGCAGTGGAGATATCGTGTCTGAGGGCAATGTGAGGTGTGAATGGTGCACTGAGGAGTCTGTGGAGACAAAGAATGTTATCCATAAAAGCAAAGAAGGTAATGTATAGTTATACCAATACTCTTACATGGTTGTGAAGCATGGGTGGTGAATGTTGCAACAAGGAGAAGGCTGGAGGCAGTGGAGATATCGTGTCTGAGGGCAATGTGAGGTGTGAATATAATACAGAGGTTCAGTAGCTTGGAAATTAGTAAGTGTCAGGTTACTAAAAGTATTATCAAGAAGACTCAAAAGGGGTTGTTTAGGTGGTTCAGACCTTTAGAGAGGAAGAATCTAAATAGAACGACTTGGAGG